TTCGGCTGTCACTATCAATAAAGGCAATAAAAGGCCCAAAAAATAACTTAAAAAAAAATCTTGACAGTCTAAAAGGTTGGGCAAACTCAATTAAGGTAAAAAAATAAAATAAAAACATGGATGAAAATGGGTTTACCTTCCATTAAATCATGGAAGTGTACACTATTGTAGTGGTTCTCCTATGTCAAGCTCTTTCTCAAAAGTCAATAGTCAATTGATGAGAAAAGAGTTTATTTCCAGGAGAGCCAGTCTCCTTGTACTAAATTCATGCAGCGGCCACAAATGACTCTCCAGTAAATTTCGCCAGATAAGTAAAACAATCAGCCATAGTCACTGTTAGTAGCTTGTCATCACACATACCCTCTGTATAAAAGATATATCTCCGTGGTGGAGGGTGAATGTCCAGTCTTTGCAACAGTCTAAATGAAACTGAATTCTCACCAAAAAGCAGAGGTAGGTACTGTATTTGATTTACTCGCTAGAGACTGGAGATTCACAGGACACAGGTCATTCTGACACATACATACTCACGCACTGCCAAACCATTGTTCCAACAGATATAACCAGCCAATCAACTATGACCACATACGTGTTGACCCAGAACTCAAATACTTGTACTCACTCAGACACAAGAAGCACACTACTTTGCTGTTTCTTCAACCAGGACCCCCAAGATGACATGACAGCATTATTTGATTTACATGTACATGTCAGTGGGATGTTTTTGTTCCCCCCATGATGCTACGATTGATTGACACTCAGATCAAGACAGATAAGAAGTATGGACAGGTTTAAGGCCATTGTTGGAGAAACAGCATACTATGTAAGGTAGGTCTGAAATAGTTCATAGTTCTAAATGCAAGGGAGAAACAGGTGCGAAGGGAGGGGTTTAGCAATGCGTTTTGCTCCTCTATTCGTTACTCAAGTCCTGGCAGAAGCACAAGAAAGCAGAGACAGGCTGATGACAGGGGGCGAGGCCCGAGATCTTACCTCGAAGTCCAGCTCAGAGTACCGTACTCTTTTCCTCTGGAAGAGGAGGGGGCAGGGGGAGAGAAGAAAGTGTCAATGACCACCCCTCGACCTCTGTTGAACTTTACACTGCTCTATCTCAATTCATCTGCGGATCGCTCAGCGCCATTGTTCAGTAACAAGAGGAGGACTAATATGCAGTAGGTGCCCAACATGATACAGATAGTCTTACAAATGTCAGGCAGAAAGAAAATGATTCAGTCTATTTCAACGTAATGAGATTAGTGAAGTGGAATAACCCAGAATTAGAATGAAATAATAATTTCTCGGCTCACATACTCTCAAATACAATCATTACACACCCCAACATAAATCACCCTTGTTGCTATTTTTGGAGAGTTTGTTGGAGACATTCTGATTAAAAGAGCTGCAACAAACATATGAGAGATGGTTTTCGTCCTCTAATCTTGTTTGGACCGCAGCACTCTCCTCTTAAGTGCCTCCATAGCTTTAGCGAGTGGCACACAAGCCGCCAATTTAACAGCTGCAGACATTTCCAACTCATCTGGCCCTGACATTGCGTTGCATTACATTCCATCTCTGACTTTCTATCTGGCTCTCGCTGTCTGCCAGAGATTTGCATTTGGCAGTGAGAGGAGCTGCTCTCCACAGTTAGTTAAAAGCTGTATTCATTCTTTGAAAGGGCAGAGTTGCTGATCTGATGCTCTGGCAGCCAAGGTTTTAAAAAGTAAAGAACTGCAAACAGATAGAAAGGCAAGTTTGTCCTATGAACTTCACTGCCTCTATAACACAATGGAAGTACTGCCCTTCTATAGAGAAATCCTTACCTTAAACAGAGAAATTCCGTGATTGAGTTTGCTTTGTAATATGGTAGACATGCAACATGTATATACGTGTACAGTATATTGCATGTTTTGGTGGGAACACACACAAAGCAGTCATTAACTCACTCATACAAAATTCATAAGTAATCTTTTGCTGCTGTGATTTGCTGTTATGATGGCATGATAGTCCTATTATAGCCAACCACAGTCACACACAATTTTTTTATTGGTTTGCATGTATTCAAGGTAGGGATGTCACGACAACAGATACCTCGGTATCAAGTTTAAACCAAAACTCAGAGAACTGGTACTCATTTATCTACAGTACTTCTGGTTCTGAGGATGCACTACTCCCAGACATGATGGGGCAGCATATACGCCTACATGTAATCTAGTCGGCCATTAAATTTCACATGTTGAAGACGGCGACAAGTGCAGCTTTACAGGTGATTTACTGGTGAAACTTTCTAACACAGTGCTCCGTCGTCAACTCTCTGCTGTCTGTGTCTCTGTCGCTGTGCTGTGCTGTGTGTGTGTGTGTGTGTGCAGGACCTCAACCCGAGCTGAGTCGCTGGTCAGAGGCGAGACAAAGAGAGGTGGAGACCTGCACACTCACCACGCCACTGCAAGTGCAAAAAGCAAATAACAGTAATTTATTAATGTAATCCGCGCAAAAGATGTACAGACGAGCAACAAACTCTGCAGGACACTTTAGAGGGAGAGAGAAATTCTCTCAGACAGCGACAAGACAAGATCAAAAAAAGATTACAGAGAGAGTTTGTTAGGCTATTTAAAGGCCTACTTTGTTTATTAGTTATTTAGTATTTTATATATATATATAATAGGCTAAATTAATATTAATATGAATATATTATGTATAAAAACATTAAGGAACAGCTTGGTTGTAGGCAGTCTTTTTCTTAATGCAATGCAGAGCTGAAACTTAACATCATTAGGACATTTTTACAGTGGTATCAAATTGGTATCGAGGATCGTGGAATTTCATTCAGTATTGGTTTCAACTACTACTTCAATTTCTGGTAACGTGACATCCCTAATTCAAGGTAGTGAATTGTACGATAATCTGATAATCTGACCTTTATAGCCAAAAATTTGTTGCAAGGAGATATTAATTTATATTTCAATACTCCCTCCAATGGTTTCTATAGCACAGTGCTATCATAATATGCCCCATGAACCTTTCTCACGCCATGACTAGATCATTTAGAGTTTAAATTTACAAGCTTATAACTAAAAATCAACACTGTGAGTCCGTTTGCGTGATCCCTCCATTATGCGTCACCATATTTGAATTGGGGAGTAAAGCACTGCTGTGATTTAATCTTGAGAGGCACGCTCTGATATCCATCTCCAAATCAAGCATATTCAAACAGGGTGAAATTACAACAGTAAATTACATCCAGCAGGTTTCTCATACGATTTTTTTTTTTTTTTTTGGTATTCATGAGTGCACTCGTAGCTCTTATGGCAGTGATTTTTTATGAGTTTTAATGACTCGTCCTTAACGTCCTCAGCCCTAAATGAAGCATCTGCACTTTTTGGTGAAAGTGTCGTTTCCATCTCTTTAATCAACCTTGTGAGTCAGCAAGATGCCATTGGGGGAAGATCCAACGCGTGCGCATATGTGTGTTTATGTGTCCATGTTATCGTGGGCTTGTTTTTGTGTGTATGTTTGTCAGTGTGTGTGTGTGTGTGTGTTTGTGTGTGTGTCTAAAATTAAGGTGGGCTGAAAGACATTCACCAGGGGTATTTCCTCTGATCCTGTCTGTCTCAGTCCATCTGCTATGCCACCTTGTATGGTAAGGAGGGGGTATTACACACACATTACACACACAACGGAAGCGAAGAAAAAGCTGTCTGTCTAAGAGAGTAACTCATTTCGACGCTCATTGTCTCAGTCAGCAGCAGTAAATTGTACTCAGCCGAAAATAATAGCCGTTGTTATAGCAGACTAGAACTGTGCTATTATGGCAGTTTAATGGACATATTGTTATTGTATATCACACACAATATGTATATATGTATATTAGAAATGGCTTAAATTGTTTAAAGCCCACACTACTGATTATATTGATATTAGTCATACAAACAGATTCTCTTCTTCCCATATTCTGCTATAGCCATAAATATTCATCACAACAATTCATTTAGTGTAGTATAGTCTTATTTTCTTAAGGTAAAAAGAAATGTTGATTGGATAAAACTGTTTTTTACCCAAAATTATGTATTTTTTTCAACAGATTTTTCTTGAACTAAGTGACACTTCTTTAGATGCAAATTGTGTTATTTGCATTCTTCTTGTTTAAAACACTGGAAAGTGTTTAAAATACTTAGAGCATATAGCGAATAGACAGAATGTCACATTCAATAACCTTTTTCTGAAAAGAACTTTCCTTCCCCTTGCTTTCTTTCTCTCCTCTTTGTCATTCAACCACCACAACTTCACATATATAGCCACATCACCACCACCACCATCACCACATTCATAAACCTCAAGTGTGTGCTCAAGTGAAAGGTGGACATGGTGAAGAAGCTGCACCACCACCGGGAAACCCCTCCTTCCCTCATCCTTCAACCTCTTACCCACCTCCAGGGATCCTGCAGAGAGGCTGGTGTTGGCATTGGTGCTGCCCAGATTGCGTGGCAGGGTCCTGGTTCTCTCCACTGTGGTTCCCCCTGTCAGAATCTGTCTGACTGATGGCCTCTGGCCCGGCTTCAGCTGGAGCGAATGCCCGTGGGTGTGCATGTGTCCTCCGTGGGAGTGTACAAGACCACCCTGAGCCATCATGTGGCCGTGCCCGTGGGGCATGGTTTTGATCGTCCCATAGGAGCGGTTGAGGTTCATGGTGATGTTCATGTCGCCCACACTGGACGGCACAAAATCCGCTGGGTAGGCCTCGCTCTCAGCTGGGTGGAGGGTCAGGGGAGAGGGAGGCGGGGGAAAAGGGGGATCCTCCACTGCGATGTTGAGAGGCTTGTCCTCACCCCCCAGTCCCAGGCCTCCTCCTTGGGAGGAGGGCACTGGAGGTTTGAGACTGACCGTCCTACGAGGTAAGACCATGTAGTCTCCCTCCCCTACTCCGCCACTTCCTCCTCCCCCTCCTCCTCCGCTTCCCCCACTTCCGGCACTTCCGTCCTGGGAGGTGTTTGAGGAAGTGGGCGGTCGAGCCCAGCCCAGGCCACTCTCGGTGCACAGGTAGATTGGAGCGCCGCTGCGTTGCTGCCCCTGCTGTCTCTGCTGATCCACGTTCACCTCCTTCTTCAGGGGTGTCTCGCTCAGCTCATTGAGGCCACTGAGGGGTGGAACCTTGTGGAAAAATCAGGGGCAATAATATCCTGATATTAAGGACCTTTTCCTCTTTCACCTTCTATGTCAACCAGATTTCAAACTTTAAACTTCAAACTTTTATGTGATTATACATTATCTGTCAAATAATTCTGATGGCAAAAATAGGATATGCTGGATATGAAAAGGAATCACAGGGCTGCATTGCTGTCAATCTTGAGAATACCATTGGGTGCTGACATTTTCAATTCCTACTTAAGTGGCTTTAAGGGCATAATATAGTTATATTTAGCTCAATTTTTGAAGTTTTTGACAGAAAAGTTGAGCAGAGCACTGCACTGGTCATCCAATATGTCATGCAATGTAAAGCTTCAATCCTATACCTGTACAATGAGGTTTGGAGGGGGAATGTTCCCGGGGAGGGAGCTGAAGTTCACCCCGACTCCTCCCTCCTGATGGGCTGCCAGCTTGGGATCGTCCTCGTCATCCAGGGAGATGCGGGAAAGTGTCCCGGTGATGGTGGCCGGGTTGCAGGTGTTCACCTCCTTGAATATGACTGGAGGGAGATGCGGGGGAGACAAGGGAAGCCATGGAGCCAGCAAAAGAGTGGGTGATAGGCAGAAGTTAGGGTAGTTGGTGAAAGCAAGAAAAGAAGCAAACGGAGGAGAAACATTCAGAGAGAGCATGAGGAATGAACATTGAATGGAAAGGAATTGATATAGTTTATGCAAGTTGAGAGGTAAGCAAAACAGAAATAAGACATAAATTAGGCAGTGATGGAAAGTTTTTTTTGCTGTCTTCATGTAGCTGTGAGACAGATTGCATCTCCAAAGAAAAGTTTCACTTCTCATTTTGGGCTTACATGGTTCACAGTAACTAAGTTTTGTCTCTGACACTGTGACCTTAAGTCTCGCTCCATCTCAAGATTTGCCGGTGAGCCAGGATTTGTATTAGCTTGCAGAAAGAGCCTCAGTGCAAAATGCTGTGTGCTTCAAATGAAATGGAGCCAAATTCCCTCGCTACTGAGGCCTGTCCCATATCTTGCTCACCAGCTTATTACTCCCTGCCCTGTTGTCGCATTTAAGTGTGAGTCTCTGAGTTAGTGCTTTAATGCATGTGTGTCAATGTGTATTACTGTACGAGTGTCTTTTTTATTTCATAAAACAGAACATAAAACTACTTACAGTGGCTTTGGGTTAGCTTTCATGCATGTTGTTGAGGAACAAACTACAGATACTACACACTTCTAATATAGCTACTCCAAAATTAACTATGACATGCTGATGAGAGACGATGTTTAATCACAGCTAACATCAATCTATCATCACAATCAAACACAACTCAAACTATCTGGAAGATCATGCTAGATATCATGCTCATTCTGTCACCATCAGAGGAAAGAATATTTACTCTGTGGCCTCAAAATCCAATTCCAGACCAAAGCATGTAGCACAGACCATTTTCATGTTCACTGCATTGATGTGACAAAATGTCAAGCTACACATTTTATCAAAACATTGAAGCTGAATCCTGCTGAATATACCAGCAAGGACACTTGCTGTAAAGAACCTTGGATTTTCTCTGTTTTACCGCCCCGTTGGTGCAAAATGAAAGGACTGGACAGGTTTTTGGGAAGCATCACCAGTCTCGGAACCCTTTTCATCTGCATCCAACAGTGGAGACCCAGAGAATGGCCGCTAGATGAATCTGGTTGTAGTTTTATGTGTTGCGCTCTCAAGCACCACCACCATTACTGCAGTGGCAAAGTTCAAGTGAACACATTAACAATGAAAGTAGAGATGTTTGAGTTAATCACGGCCAGCAATCTCCACCATGGACAGATGAAGGCAGTGTGTGAATGTGAAAGTTATTCAGTCTCAAAGCACTAGTCAGAAATTAATTATTACACAGCCTTTGGGGGAAAAAAAATTAATGTACCGCTCCCGGCCGTCCTCCACAGTGTGGATGTCAAAGTGCTGTGTGGGATAGCGCTAGCTAAAATCGAGAAGGAATTACTTGTTAGCTTATAATTTAAATAATCAAACCCAACGATTTTGTGCATGGTGGGCTCACCATTGGCCCCATGCGGGTGGATCACTGATCAAAACATACATTTAATTGAGATTTATAAAAGTAAAATTGATTTCTTGAGGTATTTAATTCCCTTTGTTTTCACAGTTTAAGTTTATTATAGTTATGATTATTATAATGTCTAGCAATTTGTGAAAACTGGACTAAATGTTATTAAAAAGTTAAAAGCCTATAGACTATAACCTTTATTCTAATGGCATTGATGATTATATTTTCAATATGTAAAAAGTTGTACAGAATTTCTTGGACAGACTGCGCTTAAGAAGTTCAATCATTTACTTACATTACAGTGTGCAAGTTTGCAAGTGAAGTGCCACTGCAGCAATGGCTGCTTGTTTACTTCCACCTACAACCCGGATTCATCTATAAAAATTATCTAAGTCTAGGGATGGACCAGGCAGTGTTAAGAAGGTCAGTTGGGTGCAAAACTTACATGGGTGTCCTCTCTCTGCAAGGGTGGAGGGGGAAAGTGACTGTGTTAATATTTAAAATCACAACACAAACCAGATTGTGGTACATTTGCAACACATCCAAACACCCACACACAGACACACACAAGACCATTATCACCATCGAGTGAAAACAGGTCTGAAAACATTGAGGAGTGTTATTATCATGCACAATTAAACGCAGTCTCATCCAAACATATGCTCGCTGAACACTTGGGCAGAACCAGTGTGATTGATAAGGCATAATAATTTGCACGCAACTGTGTCGAGATGTAGCACATCATCTCCTGTCGTTTTATCAACATGCACAGCGGCAAGCTGAGGCTGTTACAGCTCTCCATTGCTTCTGTGCAATGCTAATCCTCTGTTGGAAAAAAAGGAGGAGACAAAGGGAGAAAGGGAAGGAGAAATCAGGTGGAAGGGAGAGCTCACCTGTTTGACATGCCAAGTCCACATCCTTCTCAAAATCCGTCTGAGAGATGAGGCAGGGAAGGAAGAGAGGAAAAACAGTGAGTGTGTACAAGTCACTACGTTCACCACATTAGTAAAGACCTGATGATTGATTGTATCTTGAATGGTTATGCTTTATCCAATGAATCTGATGATCTAATTTGACTCTAGTGAAAAGAATATGATCTGTTGCCATGGTGACACTTTACAACTCTGTCAGTTAGTAATGCCCTCTATGAACAAGAAGAGAAAATGTTGCCTTAAGTCATACAAGAATGTTCAGTTTTCATTTCTTCATAGTGAATTTGTTCAAAGCCTTTTTCAAACCAAAAGCAACAGAGAAAATAGTAATAATTCTGTGTGATAGCATGAATTCTTGCTACTTTAGCTTGTGATGTGTATCGGTTCACGGCAGCACATCCAAATACAGTTTTTGAAAGAGGAGTTTTTCCAGGTAATGCCACCGTATGCCTCATCAGTCACCTCAGCTATGGTATGCATGGAAACAGCGACAAAAATTTACACAGCAGCAAAACTATTATCTGCTGTGCCAGTTGAAGCAAAACTTTCCTGTCTTCTAGCGGAGTCTGAAACACTGACTATACCGACAAGAAAATGTATAAATGTACATAATGCTTCTGTTCAAATCTGTTCACACCAGTGACCAAAAACACAGACATCCACACTGAGTTTAACCTGAACTATTCAGATATTATGTAGATGAGGTATTTTGTCACAACAAAACACCAAAAAATTGTGTTTATTTGCTTTGAACCAGCATTCACTTGATGATGCAGGGTGGCACTGACTCCTTTGGGGTAAAGAAAAACTCCAAAACCATTAGGGCTGTGGGTAGAATGAAGAAGTGTTGTTTCCAAAATGGCCACCACTCAAGTTTCCTAAACTTTAGTGAAAGTGAAGCTCATTGTTATGCAGTCGTGGTCCTCCCCTTCTCTCACGATAGAGCCTCCTCCTGTCCTCGGCGGGATTTACTTACAAAAGCTTTTGTTTGGATAATAAACTACAGATTTTAGGCATGCCACAGAGGCAAAGACAAGAGGAAGAGGGGGGGAGGAATGAAAAACTGAAAGAGAGGAGAGAATGTGTAAAGGTCTCTGAGGAGAGGAAAAGCTCTTAGTACGCAAATCACCCGCAGCACCATAAATGGGTCTCTTCTAAATGGACGAATGCGGAAATGAAAGAAACCTCTCTCTCTGTCTCTCAGTCTCTCTCTCCCATCCAAATTGAGAAAAACAAATCATCTTTATTTCAACTACAGCACATTTTCTCTGCAACAGCCACAGGTTAAGTACAGTGAGTCATCAACGTCAATGGGAACACAGTCCCATTCCCGAGTAAACATCCTGTAGCATACAGCTCTCTGGGTGAGGTTACTGCTGGAGGGAATGCAAAAGAAACTATCATCTCCGATCAATTAAAAATGCGTGAAGACATACTATATACATTTTTTGCCTACCTTGCTACAGTAAAAGTCCTAGTTAATATTTTTAAATCACAGCTATTCCTACTTAGATTTAAAGGTGCAATATGTAATCAGAACAAAAATTAGTTTGATGCAATGATAATTTATTTTGGTTAAAGGACTAGTTTGATAGTTCAAGAAGTGCATGTATTCGCTTTCTTGCAGAGAGTTAGATGAGAAGATTGTTATTGGTCTGATTTCTGTTTGCTAAATATATCACCAACAGTGGATTAGCTTAGTTTAGCACGAGGAAACATCTAGCCTGGGTTTGCCCCCCTGTAATATATTATGCCTACCATCATCTCTAACCTCACTAATAAGTGCGTTATATCTTGTTTAATTCATATAAAATCCAAAGCGTATGAATGACATATTGGGGTTTTAAAGGGGGGTTATGAGTGGGTTATGGTTTCTTGGAAGGGAGCAGTGACATTCTGAAGTCATGGCAACCTTATGAAGTCTCCAAAAAGTCACTGTGCCTGGCCAAGAAATAGTTCAGTACATAACCTCTTGTAAAACCACAATGTGACGCATTACAATTTTGAGACGGATTAACAAGATATAACACGGTAATTACTGAGCATAAGAACTGTTTCCGGCCTTTGTGCTAAGCTAAGCTCACTAGTGGCTGGGTGTAGCTTCAAATTTAGCATGAGGACATAAAAGTGGTATTGAACTTCTTATCCAGCTCTTGGCAACAAAACAAATAAGTATCTCTCAAAATGTCAAACTGCTCCTTTAATACTCATTTATGTTTATTCCAAAATATTGTTTTACAGATTCCACCTTTCTTCATCTATGGACCTGACTATTCATAGTGACTAATAGTGTCTTTTCTACAGGTGACATACTGGTTGGCTGCCGATGTGGTTGTGGGCGTGGTTATGGTTATGAGCGTGGTTGTGGGTATTGTTCAGGATGGGGCTATGCTCATGCGCGTGGCTGAGGGCGTGGCTGAGCTCTAGCCCGTGGTTGTGGTTGCTGCAGGGCAGACTGTGGTAACAGGCTTGCTGGCATGCCTGGTGGCACATCGGTGGGACCGGCTGCGGGTGGCCACCCGGCAGACACAGAGCTGTGCCGTAACGCAGAGAGCCACACTGCTGCCCGCATTGGCTCACATTTGGACACTTCTGATGGTATAAAAAGATTAATGGAAAACATGAAGTTGAAACGTTAGAGGGGGAATATTAACCAGTTTTGTAGAGGAGAGCACTGAGCTTTAATCAGATATTAACTAATCAAATGAGTTTTCTAAAGCTTCTAAAGCTAAATTGTAACAAGAAGAAGTAGTAGTACAGTTCTACATCTTTATGATGTCTCTAAATGTCAGGGGTTTAACTTCCTAATGAGATTTCCTATGTAATATAGAAAGAACACCTGAGAGGATGGTGCTAACTGTAATAATGTTGCTGATATAACTGGTGGCAGCTTCACCAAATTATCCATCACAATTAATGTTCTCAAGGGCATTTCATACAACAGCTCCATGCATATGTGCTGTCTGAGAAGATTTCTTCAAAGTCATACACATTTAGAGAAAACTTAAAAAGATTTACCAGCTGTTTTCCTTAATAGAACAACAGTTGGCATAGCAACAAGCCCTCACTGCGAGCTGTGTGCAAGATAACAACACATTTAAACAAAAAGATTTAAAAAAGCACAGTTAGACTGTAAATGTTTCTCTCGGTTATGAAAACAGAGACAGAGAATGTGTCATAATGGGTTCCCTGAGCAGAATGATGGTTCCAAAGTTTAATCTTGATAACCTCAGAGGGGCGTTCAGCCATAATCGTTACCGCAAACAGGTCTGAGGGAGAAATAAAGGGAATAGCGTTGTGAGAGTCGCTCATACTCTCATAGTGGCGGTGTGACCGCACTGACATTGGCAAGGCAGTTCAAGTCTATATGATTTATCACACTATTAGCCACATTTGGAACATATACAATAACCTTACGGGAGCTCTGTGCTCTTTAAATAAAGATTAAGAAGTTTAGGTAAAAAGTAAAAAAAAGTGCTGAAGTGCCTGTTTTGGTAATACATGAAATGCCATGGACAATATAAATCTTTCTATCTTGAAGTAAGTACAATAACGACAATGTCAAAAATGCATTCATATTAATTCTAGCAGGAGACAGGAGAGTCCAGTTAGGCACTATAGGAGGTTAGTTTGACGCTGGGAGTGAAGTTGCCTTTCTAAGGGGAACAAAATAAAACATTTGTGGAGAATAAAATGAGAAATGCATGATGCATAAACAATAATGAATTCCTGTTCAGGAAAAAAAAATGGTTAAGGAAAGTTTGAGCACTTCAATAATGGAAGTCATGCTTCTTGCTATTGGAGTTGCAGCTTCTAGAAAGCTCCAGCCTGGTTAATGTTAGTCCGAGGCTAATGGGCTGCAATGTGGGATGAAATGGAATGCTATTCACCATGATCTGCACCTGTCCATTCTTGCAGGAGTCTGGTGAGTTTTCACTGTCGTCTTTACATCCCCCCATCCTACAGCGCACTGCATCCTGCACCTGAAGACGGAGAATAGGGGATGGGGGAGAGGAGGGATGAATATAGAGAGGAAAAGTAGGATGATGCAAAGGAAAGAAGTTAGTGGAGGAACTTTTACTTAAGTTAGTTTGGCAAATGTTGGAGCATGGGGAACTCTCTCCTCAGACACTTTATATTCTTCATCTTTATCACTGCAATGACAGATGTTCAGTGAATACTAAATTATGTGAAAGTGGCAGAGTAAACGGAACCGCTATATTTTTCACAAAGTAGCTCAACTTGGAGCTTATATAACAGTGAGTGGAGTAATATAGAAAGCACACAGCACTTCTTCAAAGTGGCCAATCTGAGCCTTGTGCGATCAGTGGCGCATGGTCCTAATTAAAACCAGCAGCACTGTATATAGATGTTCTAACCCCTGGGCCTTTCCAGTGTCATATTGTGTTTCTTTATCCTCCCACATACTGCAGCTAAGCAAACACACACTAGCCCACTGTCAGAGCACTGGTTCTTGTAATGCAGCTCAAATCAAATGGATCCCTGTGCATTATGTTTCACAGCAAAGTCTGAGATTTTTTCTCCCATCAGGCTCTGTATTATAGATAGCCTGGTTACTGGCTGAGGAGCAACATCATTTCTCAATGTTGCCGCCGTCAAATCCCATAAGAATCTCATGGGTGGATACAAGAGCGCTTGTGTAAGAAGCGGTGCAAGAGCGAATGAGAGCATCTTCACTCTCGCTGGGTGGTCTGTGTGTGTGTGTGTGTGTGTGTGTGTGTGTGTGTGTGGTGCTACAATTGGAGTGGATTGGAGTAGTATCCATGTCTGCTTAATACTGCATGAGTTAGAGTATTGCCTCCATTGTTTCCTTTCGTCCGTCTGTTCTCTTTATGTCCATACTCATCCTCAGTAAAATTTGCGCTCCATTCTTTGTTAGTGTTAGTGTGTGTGTAGGTGTGTGTACGGCCTGTCGTGTGTGCTGGTCGTGTGTGTGTTCTTGTGTGTATTGGCACCCAATGCAGCTCATTCTGACTTCAAAGTGAAGAGCCCTTCTATGGGTCCATACCTCCCTCTCCACCTTCCTCTCTATTTCCTCCTCCACTACTATCATCCCCTGCTTTGCTCTTGAATCATGACTTTTTTCTCGCACAGTCTGCTGCATGCAATTTTGGTCTTTCAAGCCTCCTTCTCCTCGTACTACTTACCAAGTCTCCTCCATCCTGTACTATCGAGTAAAATACCATCTCCCCCTGTCTCCTCTCCTGGCTTGCATCTAATCGACAACTCTACGGCACATGTTTTCTCCGCCTTCTCCTTGTGATCTCAGCAGGCAGTCTTGCGCCACCGTCGCCTTCATTCTCCGCCGCACCCTTTACAGCGCGGCATACGAGGAGCGCCTACCGGGCCTGGGCTTGAGGCAACCGTTTTTGTCCGCCAGTTCTGCTGATGCTTATATCCACTTTGGTGCTGCCCTCTCTTTATTTTGGCACTGTAATACGCTCCTTATTTCACCTTGTTTCTCTCTGCTCCTCCACTCTCCTCCTGGTGGGCACTTCTCTGCCTAATTTGTTCTGAGTACGAGCGTTTAGTCAGCATCCAGGATGCAGGGGTTTTTTCATAACTTTAATATACACCGGATGTTATGAACGCTGATTCTCCGTTTTGTGACTATGTTAGCAGTAGCATGTCAGAGCGTTTAAAAATTCTCATTACTATGCAGTGTAAACTCCTCAAATATTAAGTCATCTGGATGCCATAGGCATGGGGTTGGGGGTCGTGCTGACGCAAAGAAGACACATTTTAAGTTTGGGAGAAAGTGCTAATATTGCAAAACATTCCAACATGAGATACATAAATTAGATCAAATAGTGAAAAAAAAAAGGTACAAGAGATAACTATCAAATTGTAGTGAACTGGCTAATTGTCTGTCTCAGGGATGTTGTGCACAATGACTGAAATTTAGCAAATCCCGGGGGGGGGGGGGGAGGCACGCCAGCCTTGTATGCAACGGCACAGGGGTATTAGTAGGGATTATCTTATTTTCCAATACCGAATCTTAGTAAAGATCCCCTTTAAAGAGAGCTGATCAGCGGAAAGTAATCTGCAACTACTCAACACCACAAAACAAGCTACATTAACTCAGAAGCGCTGCACAATACAAAACCTAGGCATAATACCCAGCAAAAAAAATAAAACTCCTCAGTGCTGATCCGCATATGTAGTATCTAACAAGGGCTTCAACGAACCGGACTATGCTGAAATTTGGCTTAACAATGACTCAACCCATTCGAAGGAGTGAGTGATCGCTGAGTTCGCTGTGTGGCGCATGATACAAATGCAGAGGTCACACATGGCGAGGGCTGTATAGACAAAAGGAAGAACTGGTTCAACTCACTCGAGCCATTTGCGAATAGAGAACGAGTGATTCAATGACAAAACTTTGGACAGGTCAAGAGGAAGGCCCTAGGGGAACGAGCCTTGCTCTATTGCCATTGTTATATTCGTTCCAATTTTAATCATGGACCAATCACCCTCGTGCTTTCCCGCACCTAAATAGTAAAGACACAACCTTTCTAACAACCCTGCCAATGTATCGTATTTATATATATACGTATCTATTTCAACACAAAACCTGTTTAGTGGTCATTCGATGCGATTTGCTGAATCAACAACCTGCCAAGCATTATGGTTGTTGTTTCTTTCTTCCTTTAAAAGTAAAACAATCCAGTTAGGTTCAGGCATAAACCACAACACAGCAAACTGGATCTAATTCTGTTTTAGTTACCTGTCTTAGTTCTTAAGTTTGGATGTTTTTGCCTGATAAACTGTTTTCTCAAGAATTTTACCAAGGGTTATATTTCCGACTTTGCCAAGTTTACCCAGCCCTCAGGCAGGCATGTAGTGGGATGGCTCACACAAAAGCATAAGCTTAGGTGCTCTTGACGTTTAGTTCTTCTTGCTGGGGGTTCGTCCTCCACTAAACTGTGCTGGAGGGCTAAGCGTGTCAGATCTGGTTTGAGCTCTATTACAGTGACAATATTTCCATCCAGTGTGGGAACTCACAAACGCTGTTGAAATAACATGAACCCAGCATGCTGAGCCTGTCCGCCATTCTGTGGTTCAAGTGTGGCATATTGCGACCTTTCAGCATATTAGATGGTTTTGATATGGCTGATTAGCTGGCTTCTTTTATTTTGAAATCATTTTGAACAATTGCAGGTGAAATGCTCAGTAACAGGATAAAAGAGACATCTTTAGACCCGGGTGTGTACACATGGCATTATTATAATCTTGTATAATGTCTGTAATCCCATGTAGTGGGATTGAAGTCGCATTATCATTAGGCAACAACTGGATTGTAAGGACATCGCAGTAGGTTTTCATATAAATAACAACCGGCGCTCACCTTTCATACTCAAGACCAGTGGGTTTACCAGAATCCACAGTGCACTAACTACTTGATTCTTCCTTTTATCGTCTTTTAGTCTTCTTTGCCTAGATTTCTATTGAAACGGTATAATCCGGTTTAATCTTTTTCCTTGGACAAAAAATGGATACAATGTCAGAATCAGAGGCTCCCTGATTTGCGAGAAGAACCTTTTTAACCCTTTTTTCTAGATTCGTGACTGAAATATATGAAACAGGTCTAACCACCCATTCTTTCACAACTCGCAAAGATGCGTCGTCATTTGCCGCTGGGATGATATCTGCCCCTGCACCATTTTAAACTGCTTCCATGTGCACTCGCAAAGTGTATTGACTCTTGCAAGTTAAGTAACGAGCTTCTTGCCAGGTTGTGTGATACTACCCTCGAGAGTGTGGGCGCCGGTCAGTTCGGAAGCATGTGCTCCACGGGTAATGCAACAAGGCAGAACCAACAGGAGCTCACAGAGAGGCCTGAGACCGAAGAGAGGAGAGGCAGGGAGGTAGATTCCTAAAACAAACGAGGAGGGAGAGGGATTCTCCTGCCTCTGCCATCTCCTTTTCTGTCTTGAGGGCCTCTTGTGGAGCTCAGCTGTGTGGTTCTATACTTTTTAGCTATTAACTGGACTGTGACACGTGCTGCATAATGACGGCCGCTCACACTCATTCAGGGATGTATGACACACCGCCAAGAACTCGTTGGATCTTGCACCATACATAACGTACCCTTGTGCACATGGAGGCAGTTTTAAAAATGGTGGCATGGCGAGAAAGACATCCAATGCTGGCAAATACTGACGACGCTCCTAGGCGTGGGAAAATGGTTATGGTATTGGTGTATGACTTTGTCAATTGATTATAAGTCACTGATGCTAAAAGCTGTAAAAGGTTTCTGCAAAGTCAGGGAGCCTCTATCTCTTGCATCTGATCTACTTTGTCCAGAAAAAGATTAAACCTACTGATGTGTATTCATATAGAGAATGAGGGAAAGAAGACATATAACCATAAACTAAACAAGGAACATGAGTAATGATGTGGATTCGGGTAACCTGTCTTAATGAATCGAGTGAAGGCTTGAGGTGAGTTTATTATGATAACTGACTCTGGATGAACCTCATTTTTTCATATCAGATGTTCCTCTATGTACTGACTCTTTCACTCTACGTCAATACAAGGCCAGTTATAAGAGTCATGAATAAACTGCAGCATGTGGCTACAGCACCTGGGGTGCTTAAGGTGTTTCTTTTTATCCTTTTGACTGGCATGTTCACCTTTCATTGTTTCAAAAGGCTCAAACTAGATAAAGCAGATACATAGCCAATTAAACACCTAATCTTAAAGTGTGCTGTCCACACCTAAACAAAGTCGGCGATGAACAGCTCTCGGTCTGGGGTTATGGTGAATCTCAACACGTTTCGGTGATCTTCCCAACTGCTGGACTATCTTGTCCCTGGATAGAGTCAGACAGATGCTGCACGTCTTGCCTCCCAACAAGTTTGTAGTCACTGAACTCCAGCCAAAAGACTCATAGTGCATGGACAGCGTGAACTTTAATGGCCTTTTTGTGGGCTCCACGCTAGATGCTTTCTGCAGGCGTTAAATGTGGCAAGGTGAACGTTACTTGGGCTAACAGATCTGAGGAAACGCTTTTTTAGTCAGAAACTCCTCAAATTAAGCAATAAGAACAGGTACTGAACAGATAATCCATGGTTGTTCGTGTGTGTGTGTGTTTATGTTTTGAATCTTAAAAATGGATTTTATTTTTAAAGAATGACATACATAAGTTTAAATGCATTGTGCAGTGGTATTCACAATGCTGCAACGAACATTAACGGTTAATTATTGTGATTGCTGGATATACTATTTCAAACATGTGAAATGATGTTGTAGGAATGGTGTCGTCTGTTTCAATATGAACGGTGCTGGAATCACTAGTATCGGTGATGATTTAAGAAATTTTTGGGTGAACATATACAAATGTTGCATAAGAATGTTCTCGTCTCTAGGTTGCCTTTGCCGCTTTGTCTGTCCAAGGTTTGTCTCATCCACCGTCCCACTGTGCAGGTGAAGAAGGTGAGTAGTTTTCTTCTTCTGGCTTAAAGCGTGGCCATCGTTGTATCATGCTTGGTTATCGCGCCACACAGCGACCAGCGACACTACTCCCTTCGACAGGCTATGGAGTATGTTCCAATTCATTAGTTTGGGTAGTTTGAGTCACCGGTAGAACACAAAGATCAGACCGAGGGAATTACATCGGTCTATGGTCCTCATGTTGAGGCTTTTTATAATGTAGCCTTGATAGTGCAGTATTGTCCTGCGGATCCAAGGTGCTTAGAGTAAATCTGTATGCGACTAGAGATAATCCAACGAATACCTAGTGCCCTGTTTGCCACAGCTTTTGTTGCCCGGTGCAAATTT